GGACAGCAGCGAGGATGGGCAGCAGTGTGATGTGGGCGCAACACTTTTTTAACCAGCTTGGCGCAAACTGGTTATTGTGACCTGTTCTGTTGATTTGTGAGCTTGGGGGAAATAAGAGTGCTTGGAAAAAAAAAAAAACACACGGCTTTGATGATCCTGAGATCACGATTCCGATTAAAAAAAATTATAAATCGTTCAGACCTGCCTGGACGGATTGTGGAGTGTTACTTTACGTTCAGTGTGTTTTGGCTGTATTCGTTCTAAAACAGAACCATCCAAGGAGCTTCGTTCAATGTTGCGTCACCTCTTGGAGATGTTGCCAGCATCAAATGTGTCAGGACCTGGCAGAGACAACGCCATCAACCTCCTTGTCAAGCAAGTGCCCCGCAAGTCCTTAAAGAACCCAGACAACTCCCTGACACTATGGGTGATTGACCAGGGTATGTTAGTACTTAAGAGAATTGTATTTCTTCAAAGGTACAGTATGTAGAATTTACTCCCATCTAGTGGTCAACAAACAGAATGCAATGACCTAAACTCTTAGGCACGTTCATTTTGAAGCCCGTGCACTACGGTGCCTCAGAGGGACCTTGTGCTTCCACCACCAATTTTTTCAGCCGAGGTGCAAGCACAATGTCATCCGAAACGACTTATAGTACAGTATTCCCTCAAGTGACGGGGTAAGTGCATAGCATTAATTCGACATGCTGCAGTCATCATGTTCAGGAACTATGTTTGTTTATCTCCTCTGGGTATCCATAGGAGGAAAATGGCAGTGAAACATAGCAGGCTCCGCTAGGGGAGGCACTCTCTCTGTAGTATAATTCGCGATTACTTCACCTACAATGACAAAAAAAATGTATGTTGATGTGACACAAGTTTTTTTTTTTTTGTCGGTAGTTGAAATTAATAGTGGGTTTTTGAAATACAGTACGAAGATTGAAAAATCAACACTTTTTACACACTGTCCCTTTAAAGACGTCAAAACAGGCAATTTCAGAGATGTGTCTTTGTTGAGATCCATGAATTCCCTCCTACAGGGTTGAAGAAGATTTTAGAGGTGGCTGCATCAGTGCCTGAGCTTTCAGAAGGGCCAACACTTACAGAGAACACCCACATGAGCTGCTCAGTCTTGCTTAACAAGCTTTATGATGATCTTCAAAGTGACAAGGAGAGGGAGAACTTCAACAAACTGTGTGAAGACTACATTCGGTGAGTTGGCAAGCCAGGTTTTGTGTGACACAGGAACAGAGAAAGTTGCTCTGCACATCTAAATTGGAACTTCCTTCAGATATTGCTGTTTACATTTGGTTTAGACAACACTTTACCCAAACGGGCCTTGAAGCCAAGCTGCGAGCCATCCAGACCGTATCTGTGCTCCTCCAAGGACCGAGCGATGTTGGCAACCGAATCCTGGAGATGTCAGGAATGATGGATGCCGTAATATCCTTGTGTGCCTCTGAAGATGTAATTCACCAGCAGGTTGCAGTGGAGGCTCTTATTCATGCAGCAGGTAAAGCGAAGAGGGCCTCCTTCATCACAGCCAATGGTGTAGCACTTCTCAAGGACCTCTACAAGAAAAGTGAGAATGACAGGATACGCGTGAGAGCCCTTGTGGTAAGAAAGCTGTTGTGGATGTGAACATTTCCAAATGCAGAACTCAAATAACAATGGTCTCTGCTGGTTATTCAGGGGTTGTGCAAGCTTGGATCAGCAGGAGGGACTGATTTCAGCATGAAGCAGTTTGCAGAGGGATCCACACTAAAGCTGTCCAAACAATGCAGGAAGTAGGGATGACTGTTGATGTTTCCAACTGAGTATTGTTTAGGACTGAAGTGTTGGTTACGCGTGAGAGCCCTTGTGGTAAGAAAGCTGTTGTGGATGTGAACATTTCCAAATGCAGAACTCAAATAACAATGGTCTCTGCTGGTTATTCAGGGGTTGTGCAAGCTTGGATCAGCAGGAGGGACTGATTTCAGCATGAAGCAGTTTGCAGAGGGATCCACACTAAAGCTGTCCAAACAATGCAGGAAGTAGGGATGACTGTTGATGTTTCCAACTGAGTATTGTTTAGGACTGAAGGGTTGGTAAAAAAAAAAAAAAAAAACAGCTAAGCCATGGTATGATGGATACTTTCCTCGTTAGGTGGCTTTGTAATGAGTCTCTGCCCCCTACATCCCGTCGGTGGTCTGTGGAAGGTCTTGCCTATCTCACCTTTGATGCTGATGTGAAAGAAGACTTAGTTGAAGACAATAATGCTCTTCGGGCCATGTTTGACCTTGCAAAGGTTTGATTTGAAAAGTCTTTTTACCATGTGAATGTATTTATTATTTAGTGTTTTATTTTTATTTTTTATAGTATGTGCAACTACCACCAATGTACTACACTTACCAATCTTGGAATAACGTGAATACCTTTATTTTTCTGGCAGTCTGAGGACAAAACAGTGCTCTTTGCTGTAGGCTCCACTCTGGTGAATTGTACCAACAGCTATGAGGTGGAAAAACCTGACCCTCAAATGGTTGAACTGGCCAAGTATGCAAAGCAGCATGTGCCGGAGGAGCACCCCAAGGTAACGTGCCAGTAACCTTTTCAAAGTGGTTCTTCCCTTCTGTTCCTTAAATATCTGTTAGGACCAATACTGTAACAGAATTAAAATACATTGTTTTATTCTGTAAAACAAGATACTGTAATGTGAAACTGTATGATCTATCAGGATGCAGCTTCCTATGTAGAGAAGAGGCTAATAAAGTTGCTGGAGGCTGGAGTGGTTTCTGCATTGGTGTGTATGGTCAAACACGAGAGTCCGGCTCTCACAGATGCTTGTAGAGAATGTATCGCCAGGTAGGAAGACTTTTTCCCCCCCCTCTCTTGGTGCCACCCTCCTGTATAATCAATCAGTCTCTCTTACATCTTTCACCACAGGGTGTTCTTGGCTTTAGTGGAACGACAAGAAGACAGAGGCACAGTAGTGGCACAGGGTGGGGGAAAGGTACATTACACAGATAAGCTGAGTTGAGCCCATACCAGAGTGACACCCACTGGTATGGGCTAATGTATGTTTCTCTTCCACCATAGGCTCTCATCCCACTGGCATCTGATAACACTGATGTAGGAAAAGTCAAAGCAGCACAAGCACTTTCCAAAATTACGATCACATCCAATCCAGAGATTGCCTTCCCTGGAGAAAGGGTAAATCAAATAAATTACACTAATGTACTTCTGCTTTTAAAACTATATTTTCGGTCTTTAACACATTCTGTGTTGTTATTTCAGATTTATGAGGTTGTGCGCCCCCTTGTCAGTCTCTTAAATCTTCATTGCACCCTGCTACAGAACTTTGAGGCACTCATGGCTCTGACCAACCTGGCTGGAATCAGTGAGAGACTCAGGTTGGCCGCAAGGGGGAAGTCTCTCCTAAAAAAGTGACATGAACGTTTTAAATGGAGTCTCCAGCAGACAGCTTTCCAGCTGCTGTTTTTTCTGAGCTCACCTAAGGGTCAAATAATATGGAAATGTATAGTTTCCCACAGTAATCTCACCTATGTTATATCAAAAAATGCCACTAAAGGGAGCTCTGCTGTGTAAAGTTCAAATTCATGTTAAAGACCACTCATAAATAAAAAGTTTAGAGGCCTGTTTGGAATAATTGACAGTTTTCTCTTGATTTTTTTTTTTTTGTATATCCCAACTATTTTTGAAGTACAGTCGTAACTATTTTTAATGTGGAGGGTTCAGTCAAATATAGATTAATATGGTGTGTTCATGTTGCTGCTATTGATGACATACTTTGTTTTACAGACAAAAGATAATAAAAGAGAAGGCTGTGCCAAAAATTGAAGGCTACATGTTTGAGGAGCATGACCTGGTCCGAGCAGCTGCCACAGAGTGCATGTGTAACCTCATCCTGAGCACAGAGGTTTGACATACACTCCATGATTCAGAGTCTTGTGTTGAAAAGTGGAACTGAAATAACGGTGTGTTTGTGCCTGATGTGTATGCTCAGGTGCAGGAGCTGTACCTTGCCACTGGCAATGATCGCCTGAAGTTGCTTGTCCTGTATTGTGGCGAGGATGACGAAAGGCTGAGAAGAGCAGCTTCAGGAACACTGGCCATGCTGACGGCTGAGCAGCCTGAGCTTTGTGCTCGTATCGTCACAACAGTAAGCAAAGCTCCATAACCCTCACCACCACTGTCACTATACACTCAATACTGCTACTCACACGACTCTTTGTTTTCAGAGCACACACTGGCTGGAGATCCTGCAGGCACTGCTTCTCAGTGAAATATCTGACTTGCGCCACCGCGGAGCAGTCATCATTTGTAATATGATGCGAGCCGAGAAGAGTCTGGCAGAGATACTTATTGAGAGTGAAGTCCTGGAGATTCTGTCTGTCTTGACAAAGGGAGGAGAGGGCACACTCGAACCAGCCTCAAAGGTAGCTCAGAATTGCCTGGACAAGGCAATGGAGTACGGCATCATCATGAGTAGAGAGGGAAAGGAAAGGCCGGAAGGAACAAAAGCCTGAATCACCTCCACTCTGTGAATCTGCATTCTATCAGAGCAATATCCAGTACCCGATACACCTCAGCCATTTCAATGTTGCTGGTCATCAGTTTTGTCTGAATTTCACGTGCATAAAATCAGGCACTTTATAGATGTCGTAAAGGAGGTGACAACGAATGTTTGATGAATTTTTAAGAGATTATATTAAATCTACTGTATTTATCACACCACAATTATGTACATGTAATGTATACCAATGCACAAAAAAAAATCCACTTTTAAAACTTTATGTGAAAATTGTGCACATCATTTGAAACTGCGTGTTTTACATTTTTGTTCAAAAATATTTTGTGTGCCGTTACTTACATTCCTCTGTGTTTACACAATAAAATGAGCCACGATTACCTTTGACTTTTGGAGAGTGCGCATGCGCATGAATTACTGCACAATTTTTGCGGAAAGCAACACAGTGCCGCGCCGTTGTACAGGCACAGTAACCTAAAAGCGGTTCTAATGCGCTGGTTCGGGTTCGGCTTTAACGCCTTTGGACAGATATATGTAGGTGGACGTGTTAACGACGACGACACCGCCAACGAAGTTAAAGTGATAACGCCAATAGAGTTGAAGGGTCATGTTGACGGAAGCTGCCGTACGAAAATAAGTGGGCTCGGAGCGAGTTGGAGTCGAAGAGCAACCCTTCACTCGAATGGTGAGAGACACACGAAATATGTCACTTGGTTCCAAACGCGGACGTTTATGGAATATCACAATCGCTGAGTAATCGCTGGACCTCGCTATGTTGTCAGGTACCCGCTGCCTGTCAGGTTTCAACGCGGCGAGTGGAATTTGTGTGACAGGGTTCACCGACGCCGTTGTCGGGGAATCTTTCTTAATCCTCGCTTTTCCAGACCGAATTGAGTCATGGGACTTGGACAACGACAGGAAGACCCCGGTATGGAGCATGGAAGTCAAAACTCCATCCGATGGAACTGGTAATAGTTCTTCCTCGAGTCTGTCTAGTTTAAAAGGAAGTCGCTTTTCATCATAGCGCCATCCTCTGGGTCGCTTTGGGGGTTTGTCCCAACATTGCAAAACCTTGACTGAAACCCCACTTTGCGGGTTTCCAGGTACGCCTCCGAATCTGCCATTAATCCCCGATGGTTACATTGCCCTAAAACCACCCTTCTACCGGCCATTATCGCCGCACCTGAAAGCCACCAGGCTGGCACTGGGTGCAGAGCACAGCGTTCTCCTCAGTGCCTCTGGAACTGTGTACACCTGGGGACTGGGCAGGTATCACTCACATACCTGTCACTTTTGGTCATCTAGAAAGTCTTTGTCAGCCTCTGTTAAGCCAAGGTACATATTTTACATTACCAAAAATCTCAGGCACGCCAGTGGATATACAGAATAACTATACCTTGCGAACAAATGAAATTCATGTGTAGTTGAGATCAAATTTCACACGAATCAAGGAAAATCGGATAACTTCCCACAGCACGCTGGTTTGCAATTACTGATCTACACCAGTGATTCCCATTGACACTTAATTTGTCCAAATAATACAATTTTTCTTTGTCCAACCCGCAATACCAGCAATTTATCGGGACAGGCAATACAATTAAATGCTCTTCCACTCGGGAGCACAGTACACAATTAACCTGTTCATCCAACATCTCATGTAAAATATATACCTTGGCCCAATAAAAGGTGCCAATGCCTGATTCACAGATTACAGTATTTATTTATATATTTTTTTACTACTGAAACAGTCATGGTCAGTTAGGACATGGTGGCCTCTTGCATGAAGAGCAGCCCAGGGTAGTGGAGGCCCTCTGGGGCATGACCATGAGCTGCGTGGCTGCAGGAGGCTGGCACACTGTGTGCGTCAGTGGTAAGAATAGCTCATAATTATGTTAGTGGAATCGGGTATGTGCATACTGTAAATGGTACTATCCAAATGTATTAACAGATGCAGGTGACATGTATGTGTGGGGTTGGAATGAGAGTGGCCAGCTTGGACTTCCCTCACATATTGCAAGGAAGACAGAGCATCATCCAACTAGTCAAGAAATAGCAGGTTGGCCAACTATGTTACCAGAATATTTAAACCTTTTTATTTTAGTGCTTCCTATATCTCAGCTACATATAACATGTTCTAGAAGCTCCGCCCCCCCCCAACAAAAAAGATTTTAATGAGCACCGAAAACAACATGTAACATGAACAATAAACAGCATTTATCTATCGAAGGATATCTATATCGCAATGCCTGTGGTTTGCTGGGAATCATTGAAAACAGCTGGATTAATATACTGTATATATTTTTTTGGGGGGGGGGTGTATGTATGCACACACATATTTCCAAATGGAGCTAAGTTTAACATTGATGGATTCGTCAACTGTTATGTTACAGACTTGTCTTCATATAAAGAGAAACCCGAGGGAGAGAAGGACAAAGAAGTGTTTATATCGATCCAGGCATTCCCAGCACTGCTGGACGTCACTCCATCATGTGACATTAAGATGGTTGGCTGCGGTTCCCGACACACAGCTGCTGTGACATGTAAGTAATCTCATTCCATATGTCTGCATAAAGTTGTCTTTGGAAAGAGGGTCTTTACAATAGGCTGTCCACAATTTGTTTCAACCAGTGATAAGCAAACCATTTGATTTAAATATCTGTTCTTCAGGGTTTTTAGTTAGCTTGCACATTTTTAAATAATTCAAATCGAAGAAAACACTAAAATTAGAAGCTTCATGTAGTGCAAACTAGGCTAAGAGCATGCATAGATTTCTTTAAAACTGTGTCACCAGCAACATTCTATGGGACTTCACAACAATTTGGAGTACAAATTAAAAAGACTAACCAATCAAACTTACACACAAGAGATTTTTGACATCGCATTGGGTCACCAGAAGACCTGACGAGAACAGTGGTTCATATTTGGACTTGTTTTCAATGTGATCTTTCTCATTTTAGCTGCAGGTGACCTCTACACATGGGGATGGGGTAAGTTTGAGTGCAAGACTTAATATTCCCGGCAAGAGTAATATACACTTTCACTCACTAAAGTGGGGGCAACTTCTTTGTTTTTCCCCTCAGGTCAATATGGTCAGCTTGGATACGAGACACCCTATTCAGATGAGCCGCGCCGTGTGGAGTTCTTCAGGGAACAACAGATGCGTGTCGTCGATGTGACTTGTGGGACGTGGAATACCTTTGCTGCTGTAGTCAAGGAGGAAGTAGCTGCCTCTTAAATATTATCGAATCCCATTGCGATACATGGGCTTTGCACTGTATTGTACAAAATGACAACTTTAAGTCTGAAATTAAATGCATTTTGTATAGACTCAATAAAAAGCTTGAATTATTGATTTTGTAAAACTTTATATGGAAACAGTTTGAAAAATTACAAGTGGGTGATTTATATAAAATAGTAAAGTCAGTAAAACCATATATAATTTACAGCAAGTAACTACTCTGTAGAACTGATTAAACAATACGTGGGTGGTCAACTTCTGTCTTCACAGCACAATCTTGAAGGAACTGTGGAGAGGTGTTTTGAAATAAGTAAATTGTTTTGACAAAGGCGACCATTTTTAATTATGCTAGATTTTTATGCTCACCTGACAAAATCCGGTGACCTTGAAATGACATGCTGAAATTCTGAGAGGTTCACGGTTCCATCCTTGTCAATGTCTGACTCATCAAGAATCTAAATAACATCCATTAGAAAGTATTGTAATTTTACAAATTACAAATCTGTTTGTGTTGTTGTGCAGTGCTTAAAGTGGGCCAGTACGGCATAGCAGGACTTCTCACGTTTAGCCTCTAGCGGGCCTTCACATGAGATTATTAAGACTATTATTTTGTGAATAAGGAAGGAGGGACAATGACAGAAGGGTGACCAGGTCACGGATGAAGGATGGACCAGCAAAATGGGGTAAAGTGCCCATCTCTGGTTATGCTTGCCACTATGTGCAATAGATATATAGATATATATATATATAGAATAGATAGGCATAGATAGAAAAACAATAGTAATTTAGATATTAATCCATCCATTTTCTGAACCACTTTATCCTCACAAAAGTCGAGGGGCGTGCTGGAGCCTATCCCAGCTGTCTTCGGGCAGTAGGCGGGGGACACCCTGAAATGGTTGCCAGCCAATCGCAGGGCACACAGAGACAAACGCTCACACTCACACCTAGGGGACAATTTGGAGTGTTCAATCAGCCTGTCATGCATGTTTTTGGAATGTGGGAGGAAACCGGAGTACCCGAAGAAAACCCACGCAGGCCTGGGGAGAACATGCAAACTCCACACAGGGAGGCCGTAGCTGGAATTGAACCCAGTACCTCTATATTCTTGAGGTCGACACACTAAGCACTGGACCACCGGCCCAATATTAATCATAGTAATTCAAAATAATACGTTCAATACATACTTTAATGTTTAACTACAAGAAAATTTAATACTTTTTTTTAAAGTCAAGGTATACCAAACCAAACTGAAAACCATGAGCACAAAATCAAGAACCGAAGTGACCCTTGGCTTTTATTTAACCGCCGACTTCACCTGGCAAAAGTCGAGTAAGGGGAATACCAGCATTTATTTTTTTCCCACTTCAAGCACTTGGGTCTATACTGCATAATCTCACTCACATTGTGGATGAGCTGTCTCATCTCCTCAGGGGTTAGTCTTGTGTCTTCCGTCTCTCCAGTCAGACAGTTGACAAGTTTCTCCAGGTCACCACAGTCAAGCGTTCCATCATCATCAAAGTCTAAAAATGATAAAATAGCATCAAATATGCTTTTGGTAATCTCATGCACAAAGTTTTTTCAAACATGTTTACCAAATATACGGAATGCGTAGTGGGACTTGATTTCCAATGTTGCCGAGTCACTGAAGGCACTCAAAAGATCGAGAAAGTCCTCAAAGGTGAGGCTCCCATCTTTCACTATAGATGTTGAAAAGACCTGGCAGATCCTCGTTCTGAAGGGGTTGGACTGAAACAGGAATAAGTACAAAGGTCACTGCAGTTTCAGTAATAACTGGGGCACTTCCTCCAAACAACATGATACACCTTTCACCATGAGGAGTGTTTCTTTCTTTATTTATTTATTTTACCTTGAGTTCTGGAAGGGTGAGGATCTTCTCCATGGGCACTCTAACGTTTGGAAGGTCTTTCTCATCTTTCGTGAGCAGCTCAGTGAATCTTTTATGTGCCCTGGAAATAAGCCACAACATAATACCTGGTTCGATGAGCACAACCGTACGAATCTTGCCATTCAAATAGCAAATACGTTCAGCGCGTGGCATAAAAATGGTCACTTACAGAAGAATTTCTTGTTTGGTTAAAAACGTCAGCTCCTAGAAGTAGGATGACAGTTACCACAAACATACACGCACAAAAAGAAATCATACAGGACATACTGTTAGCAACATGTTACTTTACATTTAGTAAGATAACTTGGGATTCAACATGATGAGACGCCACTGTCCGTTCAAATTCTAAATTGGCGTCCAAGATTGGATTCTTCTTGATGGAGTCAGCTAAAATATTTGAAGTTGTCTCACGTTGCTGGGTGGAACAAGTGTTTGGCAGAATGGCAGCTCAGCGTCACCCAGTTAACGTTAGGCAGTCAGGACGGCATCGTGTTTTTTTGTTTAGGATTCTTATATTTGGCCACTTACTTGATATTCTGAGAGCAAATCCTTTCCAAGTTGACTCGCCGTTGTCCCCATCGTGTACAGTCTTTCCCGACGTTAAAGTTTTGTCTTGTAAATACTGTACTGCGATGCCACTTTACTTCCGGTGATCATGTTAACCCTTTCATGCTGGTTGACAGGCTACAAACGCAGCTCCTCGCCAAAGTCCAACACATGCTAACACATGCTACAAGAAGCCAATATGGTTACTAAAGCCTCAAAAGACATTTCTGGATATTCTGGGGGTTATTGACACTGTGCTTTGTTTGAATGTGTGCTGTTTTTGGGGTACAAAAATACGAATACAGTAACAACAAAAACAAAATGGAATTGCGTCAATGAAGTCGTCCTAAATTACGAATCTTTTGGATATACCTTTACCGTCGGCGGGGTTTACATTTCTGAAGGAAACTGGAAAATTACGACATTATTCTCCTAACCATTAGACGTTTCTCCTTTTATTGTATTGTTTTGTGTTTTCATCGCGTAAGTAATATTGTTAAATAAATAATAGCGAATACTGTAGGATTCGTCAGTCTTTTCTTTTTTTACTTTACCTTTGACTGGAACGTTAAGAGGCAAAGTGAGATTTGTTTCCAATGCTCCAATGTTATTCCTGTATCTTTTAAAAGTTGTTGAATTGCAATAACAAATGTGTAATTTTACTAGGAAAAAACATCTGAAAATTATGAGAAAAAGTTGTCATTTACAAGAATAAAGTTCAAAATAATTTATGAGAACAAAGTTGTGATTTAACTAGTCATATAGTATAGGACAAGAATAATGTGACACCTTAGTTTATCCTGACAGAAATGATAATAAAAGTCTTAATATTGGGATGAATAAAGTGAAATGAAAAAAATTTAAACCCTAACCTTTGGAACGGAAGATGTGTGATTTAAACTTATACTGTGCAATTTTAATTCCTAAATTATAACCAGTAGCAACCGTGAGGCGTTCAGGTAAAATGAGTGACATTTGCTAATACAGGTACATATTAATTCGTAATCAATTAATTATTTGATGAGCCGGTGACACGTTAGATTTTTAGATTTTGGTTTTCCATCCATTTTCGACAGTGTTTGTCCTTATAGAGTCACAAAGCTGACTGGAGCCTATCCCTGCTGACTTAGGGCAAAAGGCAGGATACACTGGTCGCCAACAAATCACAGGACAATGTAGGTTTTCTAGAAAATTCAGTTTTGCAATACTGGTGGCAGTTCATTGATGGTTGTGGTACATTGGCCTGACTTTGGTGCAGGCAACATGGGTTCACTTAAAATTCAAGAAACATTTTAACTTGACCACAACACAATATGTGTGAATTCAAATAACTTTTATTTTTTGACATTTAACCAAGTTTAAATAGCTCAGCAATCTACTCAACATGCAGAAGAGTGGAGCTGAACTCTGGAGGAGAGACAAGCTAAGCACCCGGGTTTGTTTCCCAGTCCGTTGAATCTAAAATAAAATACACAAAAAGAGAATTACACAACAGAATACAGTGGAATAAAGTTCTGATGTGATTAAAACAGCACATACTGTTTTAATCACATCCGAACAGTTCTCTCTCTGTTGAGATCCATTTGACTGACCAACTTATTTTGATAGATAAAGCCTGCTATAGTAAAGGCAACATTATTAATGTGATTTCTTCAGACCTTACCTGTCATTCTTGTTCCTTCCCTCGTTTCAGCCGGAACGCCCGTGCCAAATTCATTTTCAGCAGTGACTCTGAAGTAGTAGATCCCTCCCTCCTCCAGGTCAGTCACCTTGTAGGACAACCTGTGGCATCTGTTCGTGAGTCTTGTCCATCCTTTTCTGCTGATGTCCAGTATGTCAACAAGGTAGTTCTTAACGGAGGCTCCTCCCTCATTCTCAGGGATGTCCCAAGTAACTGTGGCAGAGTTCTTGGTAACGTCTTTAACAGCTAAATGTGTTGGCGGACCAGGGGAATCCAGAACCCTCACACTTAGAGTCAAAGAGGCATTCCCGACACCATTTTGCAATTTGACTATGTATTTGCCTGTATCATCGCGAGTCACTTTTTCCACAGTAATGGAGGTGACGGAGTTGGTGGTGTTGATCAGTCCTCTGATTCTTAGATCCACATCTGCTTTTTCCCAAGTGACACAGGGAACAGGTTTGCCAGTGAAAGGCACGGTGAACGTGAAAGCGCCTCCTTCTTTAACATGGAGGGTCTTCTTCATATCAGTGCTAATGTCAAACCTGGGTTCTTCTTCTCTGTCCACAGCTGCAAAAGGATCTGTTTCAGGACTGGCCTCACTGATGCCTACCTTATTTATTGATCTAACAACAAACACATATTCTACACCTGAAGTAAGCCCAGTTACTTTCAACTCTGTCTTATCTGTGTTATGAGTCCCAACTGCCCATACTTTTTCAGTAGATTTTCTGAATTCAACTTTGTACCCAGTGACAGGTGCTCCACCATCAAACAGTGGCTTGTTCCATGACAGAGTGACTGAGGACTTGGAAGAATCGAGTATCGTAGGCTTTCCAGGAGGGGAAGGCAGAAACTTTGGATCTTCTGCCATGGTGAGAGGACATGGTATACTGGGTTCACTTATCCCTGCAGCATTCTCTGCAAAAACACGGAATTCATATTCGCATCCTTCATGTAAGCCAGAGGCTTTGACTCGTAGGTCGTACACAGGCTTCTTATTTACACGCAGCCAACGAATGCCCTGCTTGTCACGTTTCTCAATGATGTACCCGCTGATTCGGCTTCCGCCATCAGATACTGGTCTCTTCCAGCAGATAGTCATCGCATCACTCGTTGTACTTGTGACCTCAACATCCGTTGGAGCAGATGGGATGGTAAAGGGGTCTGCTGCCTTGATGGGATCACTTTCCAAAGTCTCCCCCTCACCATACTTGTTCACTGCCCTCACCCTAAAGAGGTATTCATTTCCTTTGAGCAGCTTAGTTATTTTGCAAGTAGTTGCCGTCAAGTCACCATAAATAAGAGTCCAGGCTACACGGCTGGTTTCACACTTCTCAACGATATAATGCATGATCTCTGCACCGCCTGTTTCATGAGGCGGTCCCCACGATAAGGTGAGTTTCTCTGCTGTGAGTCCTGACGCTTGCAGAGGTCCAGCTGGAGGGCCCGGTCTGTCTAAGACTCTACATGTAATCGCAACAGATGCAGTACCCGCACTGCTCTGTAGGGTCAGAATATACTGTCCAGAGTCTTTCCGAACACTTTCCCGGATTATCAGAGATGTATGCGTCTTTGTTGCTGTAATCTCAACCCTACCCTTCGTGCCAATAGCTCTACTATTCTTTGACCACAACACTGTAGGGTTGGGGCGGCCAGAGATGTCAGCATCTATTCTTAGTAGATCACCCACTTTGACAACCAAAACCTGTCGAAATTTGTCCTCGACGATAATTTTAGGTGGCTCCACATCATGCTGCACAGTGACAGGTCCTGTGGTCTCAGAAGGCGCACTGAAGAGCTCAGCTGCATTCTTTGCAAGTACCCTGAAGTCATATTCTTCACCCTCCGTGAGACCAGTCACCTCCAAAAAGGTGTCGAGTAAGTTGGTGAAGTTACACTTGAGCCAACAACTATCAGGAAGCTCTTTGCGCTCGACAATGAAACTAGTTATTTTAGCCCCACCGTCATATTGTGGTTTCTCCCATGAGAGGGAAACTGAAGAGTTTGTTATGTTGGAGACTGTCAGGTTGTGTGGGGGATCACACGGGTCTCTCGCTGCAACAGGCTCAGAGGCATTACTGCGGGGACCCGCACCAACAATATTCTCAGCATACACCCGGAACTCATATATGAGTCCTTCTTCAATACTTGTAACTTTGAATCTGTTCTCGGTCACTAGACCTCTGTTTAACTTTGTCCAGAGAATACTACTTTGATCTTTGCATTCAATATGATAGCCAAGAATAGGGCTGCCGCCATCACTGCTTGCCGGGTTCCATGTAATGACTATGACAGACTTGGAGGCACTCACAACAGAAATATTGGTTGGTGCACTTGGAACCTTGAAAGGATATTGGGCAACTACAGGTTCAGACTCAACAAAGGGGCTCCTCCCGTAGCGATTCTCTGCAGCAACACGAAAGTAATATTCAGTGCCCTGTGTCAGACGGGATATTTTTATAGACGTCCTGGCAACGGTGGCTGACACAGTCTGCCATATTGCGCTGCCTGTATCTCTCTTCTCAACAACATAATTTGAGATTTGACACCCCCCGCTATATTGCGGTGGCTGCCATATCAGAGCCACAAAGTCAGCGCTCACTTCTTCCACAGTGAAGTCACATGGTTGTCCAGGTTTTTCAAAAACATTAACATGAATTTCAGCAGATGCAGTTCCAGCGGAATTGGTCACGGTTATCTGATACAAGCCAACATCTATCTTCGTTGCATCTTTGATTATGATTTGAGATGACATAACAGATGTACACACATTTACCCTGCAGGTCTCTTTCAATATGTTGCCATCTTTCTTCCATACTACTGTCGGCTGTGGTGCACCCTTGAACGGCACATCAATCCTTAAATCATTACCTGCTTTCACACTGAATGTGGTGGACAGCAAATCAATAACAGGTTGAGCACTTGTGTCTTTTACAGTAACAGGCGTCAACAGGAGCTTTGGTTCACTCCTACCCTTTTCATTCACAGCACTAACTCTGAAGAAATACTCCATTCCTTTTGTCAGTCCATTAATGACTGTTTCCAGTGTTTTACTCTCAGAGCAAGTTCTCCACTTGTCATGTCCCTTTGCCTGCATTTCAACGATATAACATGTAATTTTGCTTCCTCCATCATGATCTGGCTTTTCCCAAGAAAGTTGTACACTATCACTGGTGACATCACTCTGTGTGATTTTCCCAGGAGGAAGAGGCACTTCAGACACTTTAACAGGCTCAACTGTTTCCGCTGCTTGTCCACTTCCAAACTCGTTTACAGCCAAGACACGGAAATAATAAAAACATCCCTCCTGGAGGTTGTCAATTTTATATAAATTCCTTGTGCAGTTACTACACACACTTGTGAACACCTTTCTCGCCTCCTCTCTTTTTTCCACGGCGTAATGCGAGATCACTGCTCCTCCATCAATGAGAGGAGCCTCCCAGGAGATGAAGACAGAATCTCTGCGGACGTCTTTCACTTGCAGGTTTGTTGGTGCACTGGGAGTATCCAACACTCGAACGTTGATAAATGCTGATTTAGAGCCCTTGCAGTTAGAAACGGTCAATACATACTTCCCAGTGTCATTTCTGTTTACATTTTCAATCATCAACAATGTGGAGGAGCCTGTCACCTCTGTCTGCGCACGCTCACTGAGAGGACCACCTTCCTTTGACCACTGGACTTCAGGTTCTGGCCTTCCTTTGATGGCGACATTGAGACATAATGTTGAACAGGCTCGAACACTAACGAGCTTTCTCAAAGCTGGGTCTAACTCCACTTCAGGATGCTCCAGTCTGTCAGCTGCAACCACTGACCCTGGTAAGTCCACAGGCTCACCAACTCCATTGGCATTTGTTGCACGTACCCGAAAGTTGTACTCTGCATTTTGTCTCAGACCTTTTATGGTGTCTTTTGTTTCTTCTGTGTTTGCTGTGCATGTGATCCACTCATCATCTGCTGCTTCTTTCATCTCAACAACAAATCCAGTAATGGGAGCTCCACCGTCATAGATAGACTTGGACCAGGATAGAGAAACAGTACTGCGCGAATGGTCAGTCACTTTGAGGTTGGTAGGGGGACCAGGAGGATATGACGTATGACACACTTTAATATAATCACTTGCCTCACTGGGTGCACCAACACCTGCAGTATTCTCTGCCGATACTCTAAACTGATAATAACGTCCCTCAGTGAGTCCTGTGCATCTGTAACGCAAGTCATTCAATCTTCGCTTGTTGCATTTAGTCCACCTAACACCATCTTTATCACGTTTCTCCAGGACGTAGCCATCAATCTCAGAACCCCCATCCGACTCGGGTCTTTCCCACGTCAGCATTACAGAGTCTTCAGTTGTAGCACTGGCTTTAGGGGTAGAAGGCGCACTGGGTGTTTGAAAAGGATTTTGTGCAATGAAAGGTTCGGATTCCAGGAACTCCCCTACACCAAATTTGTTCACAGCACAAACGCGGAATATGTATTCTCTCCCGGGTGTCAGCTTTGCTGCTTTGCAACTGAGAGCTTCAACAAGGGCATCGACCCCTGTCCATGTAACACGACTTGTCTCCCTTTTCTCAACAATGTAATGTGAAACACTGGCACCGCCGTCATTTAAAGGAGCGTTCCAATGAAGATTACATTTTTCACCACTGACAGCTTTCACTTTCAAAGGTCCGTCTGGGGAACCGGGTCGATCCAGTACCTTCACATTAACTGGCACAGATGTTGTTCCATCGACGTTAGTGAGGCTCAGGACAAAGTGTCCCCCATCCACTCGTGTACAGTCCCTGATAGTCAGTGTTGTATGAGTAAGGGTGTTTTTTACATCTGTCCTTGGTGTAGATTTGTTGATTTCCTCACCATCTTTCAGCCACCTTAGTTCGGGAAGTGGCTTTCCAAAGTAATCGGCTTCAATTGTAAATGTTTCGCCCGCCTGAGCGACGATTGTATTCTTGAACTTGGGGTCCATGAACACAGAGGGTCCTTCAATGACATCTTCAGCAAGGATGGTTATACTTTCAGAGGGTTTGCTCCAAACACCTGCACCATTCTTGGCAGTTACTCTGAACTCATAAGTGTGGCCTCCCGTCAGACCTGTAATTGTGAACTGATTTTCAATAACATTGGTGAAGTTTGCTTTCATCCACCGGCCATCTGAAAGCTCTTTCTTTTCAACAATATAGCCTGTAATGGAGCTGCCACCATCATGGCCAGGTTTGGCCCACTGGAGTGTGATAGTCTCTTTTGTAATAACAACAGCTTCAGGTTTACCAGGTGGATCACAGGGATCTCTCGCCACATAGCAGTCAGATATCTTGCTCGATGGACTGAGTCCAGCAATATTTTCAGCAAAGACTCTGAATTCATATTCAATACCTTCCTCCAAGCCACTTGTTTTGAATCGGGTGTCAGGTATGGCAAATTTGTTCAGCTTGGTCCATAAGATACTGTTTTTCTCCTTTCGTTCCAGGTGGTAGCCAATGACAGCGCTACCTCCATCTCTGGCTGGGGGTGCCCATTCAACTAACATGCTGTACTTTGTCACTGTGGACACAAAAGGTGTACCAGTTGCCATAGGCACGCTAAATGGGTACTGTGCAAGTACAATTGAAGATGTGATGGCTGCACTCTTTCCATACCTATTTTCTGCAAACACTCTGAATTGATACTCATTACCAGTCTTTAGTTTGGTGACTTTGATTGTGGTTCGCACTGTCGTTGCTGATACTGTTTGCCACTCCATGTTAGTAATGTCACGTTTCTCCACGACATAATTGTCAAGCTGACAGCCTCCTGTGTATTCTGGTGGCTCCCAGGAAATGGACGCAAAGTCACAACTGACCTCATCAATTCTCACAGGACCTTTGGGTGGGTCAGGCTTTTCAAGAACGACCACTGTTATTTCTCCTGTATAGTTTCCGGCATCGTTGCTTGCTGTGATGGAGTATTGGCCAACGTGCTCCCTGGTCGCGTTTCTGATATGAAAAACTGTCATTGATGATGTCATTGAGATCTGCAGCCTGGATGTCTCTTTGACTGTGTGTCCATCTTTTTTCCATTCTATCTTTGGGGCTGGATTCCCAAGCACTGGTATGTCTACTTTCAAATCTTCACCATTTTTCACTGTGAATGTGGTAAAAGCCAGTTGAAGTGTTGGTTTTAAAACATTGGCCTTTGCTGCATCAGTGGACTGCTCTTTAGGGTTTAGTGTGCTCCTTTCAACCGACCTGGTGATCTGTCCTATAGAAAAACAAAGCAAATAAAGAAAACATTATGTGAGACGTTAGGCCAATTATGATAATTTCCCACAGTGATTTGCGGATATCTTGAATTCATAATAATATTTTATATACACTGTTATGAATGCATGCTGACTCTGAAAACGACATGATGACCAGATGGGTGCCTTGCATACCTTCAACACTGGCAGAGGTGGATGACTCAGGATGAGTATCATGAGTCAGATTAAGGGTCTGAGCTGTATCGTTTCTTTCATTTCCTGTCTACAAAATAGATACAATTGTCATTTGTCAGTGAAATTACATTAAAGCACCGCTGCTTAATTCCTGTATGATCTCATAAAAACCCTTAATATGCATTCTGGCGAGTGGGGCATGGTATTTTTAAAAGTAAATATCGATAGAAATTGTATATGGTAGCCGAGGCTTAACTTTTCATAATGACAGATTTAACTACATACAACTATTCATATTAATCCCAAAGAGCCGAAAAATAAAGGATTGCCCAAGACAAAAACAACATTGAGAGAGAGAGAGAGAGAGAGAGAGAGAGAGAGAGAGAGCGAGAGAGCGAGAGAGAGAGCGAGACTAGAATATGTACAATGTTGTCATATTTTCTGTGGAAGTTAAAAAAAACAACAAAAAATGACTTACTTCTTTGTCAGTTCCTGCCTCCATCCTTATCTGATTCATGCCCTTGTAAGAAACAAAAAAAAAAAAACCTAATTCAACTCAACGTTGTTCGAGATAATGTAAAATGAAGCCTGCTCAGACACAACTCCAGCAGTCACTGCCTGCTTTATCACCAAATGCATGCAGTTACTCAGCTGCGAAAATAGCCACATGACTGACAGACCAGCTGCTGCATCTTCTCAAGTTAGTTGAACCTGCATAGATTACAAAACAAGAGCAAACGTAACTCGACAAAAAATAAATAAATAAAATGCGACCAGACCATCTGTTGTACGTACGTTGATATGATGAAACATATTTTAAGGGTTTTTTTTCTTTTTTAAATGGAGATGTTATATTTTTACCATTTGTGCGGATGCACTGGAATTTTTATGCACAGAGCAAGTTATGGAAATACAGGCCAGTGTTCTAAAACAAGATCAGTATTACATAGAGCTGAAACAATACAGTACACCAAAATTAAAATTATGTTCGTATGTCGATTTCTGATCCATTGGTTCAACGCACTCTTCAACTGCAATCTTGGGTGAAGTAAAACCATTAGTTAAACTTTTATTTTGGCATCCCAAAAAGAAAATGCAAGCGCCAGTGTAGAACATTTAACGGAACACGATGTTGTCGGAGCCATGCTGATGTTAAAAACAAACGTATTAAGGTGTACGGAAAGCGCGTTGTTTGACCGTACCTATGCAATGGTGTCATTAATATCATGATGACACATTTGTTCACTTTATCTTATCGAGATGATGGGAACTAAACTGTAACCCCCGGTCAGAAAAATATGAAATAGGTTTTATTTTGATATCTCAAACCGGAAATACAAATACCAACGAAGAAGAATAGCGTAACTAACCAGGAAATAACAAGTGATCAACATTTTTAAAACGTGCTCATCTGTATGTAAAGTGTTTTGTGTGACGTGCCTGTATTGTAGTATATACAGCTTAGTTGAATATTTGTTGTTATTGTGTTCCAAGTGAAATACTTTCATTTCATTTTATCCGATGGGTGAGAACTGAACAGATGGCATTCAACTGAACTGGACGACTGTGAAGATGACGCAAGCATGTTTGTGCACAAGTGGCGTGAAACGTCATTCGTTTTATTTTTATTTATTTATTTTTTTGATAACTTAGCTCATCTCTAGAACCACCCATGGCAGTCCAATTTGTCTACAGGAACCAGGACTTTATACAGGATGTACGCGTCAATACTGATAACGTATCCCTGTCGGCATGTAAATCGAGGTTCGATTCAGCCATTCAAACTGGATGGACGGACAGAATGGAAAGGGGACTCTTTCGGTACCGTTTGGGAGACTTACAAACACGTGTCCTGCCTGGCACATGCGGTTTTGTGGCCCAGTTAAATGTCAAGAGAGGAATGGAGAGAAGAAAGCCTCAGGAGATCCTCAGTATTCAGCAAGACTTCAACGCCAAACAGTTTAATTTCAACAAGGTCAATCCAGATGAGATCATATTTGAGATGATCAAGGAGTCCGAGGATGGGCATGAAATTGGGAGTCTACCCTACAAGACAGTTGTCTTGGTCAATGTCAGCCCTCTGGAGTTTGGACATTGTCTTTTTGTTCCAGATCCAGCACGCTGCTTCCCTCAAATCCTCACAAGGCCTGCAATTCAAGTTGGTATCGAATCGGTGCTGCTCAGCTCTGATCCAGCCTTTCGCATGGGCTTCAACAGTTTAGGAGCGTTTGCATCTGTCAATCATCTACACCTCCATGGATATTACCTGAAGCACAAGCTCAATATTGAATACATGTCCGTCCGGCCGCTTCTTCCTGAAAAAGGATTTTACGCATTAGCCGGATTTCCTGCAGGGTTTCTCTTCTACACTGAATCAGAGGGAGTGAAGGATGTTGCCAGTGCCATCTGTCATGTCACTGACTACCTAATGGAGGCCAATGTTGCTCACAACCTCTTCATGACCAGAGGATGCCCACCCTGTGCAGAGGATGACAAGTTATTAAGAAAAGGCGTACGCATCGCCGTGTGGCCCAGAGTAGCTTGTTTTGGTACCAAAGAGGAGTCCGCTCTCAACGTTGCTCTCTGCGAGCTTGCTGGCCATCTACCCTTTAAGAACAAGAAGGACTATGAGGTCAACACTGAGTCAGATGTGATAGAAACAATTCAGCATTATCTTTTACCGCATGAAGATTTTCTTCAACTGGAAAAGCAGCTGACTCAACATTTAATGATGCTGTAAAGTTTGGACAAAGAATGTCAAGTGGTGTTCAGTGCTTATGATATTAATAAATGACAATGTGTAATTTTTTTCAGGGCTGATACCGATTATTGTAGTCAAGGAGGCTGATACTGTATTTGAAGCCGATATTTATTTTCAGTAAAAGTGATAATATTGCAATCAAATTTTACAAAATAAAATAAACTCCTCAAGTGTATGTTGAAATGTCTTAAAGCATATTTTTATTTTATTATTTTCACATTTGCAAAATGTTTTTTTAAACATTCTTTAACATTCTCAACAAAAAAAAAAAACGGTCAAGAAAACTCTGTCATCATTGTCTTAAAAGGTTACATGAAAATTTAAACAAGTCATTACGTCCGTATAGTTTGTTACAGTGACTACATTTTCCAAAATTAATATAGACTATAATAACAGAAATGTTAAACTTTCACTTATTTTCATTGTTTTGGGGTGCTGGAGCCTATCCCAGCTGTCTTCAGGTAGTAGGTGGGGTACACCCTGAGCCGGTTGCCAGCCAATCGCAGGGCACACAGAGACGAACAACCATCCGCGCTCACACTCACACTTAGGGACAATTTAGAGCAGTGGTTCTCAACCTTGTTAGAGGTACGGAACCCAACCAGTTCATATGCACATTCACCGAACCCTTCATTAGTGAAAAATAAAAATAGGATTTTTTACAAATTCAAGACATTTATTAAAAACAGAAAAAAAAATTAAAATGACATGGCATAAGTATAGGTTTTTTAAATTGTATGACATACTATCACAACAATCACACAGTGACTACTGAGCGAACTAAATTTCCCGCAGCACTGATTGGACAAGCAATGTAATGTGATCATCTGCAACCAGTGATGGCCAAGTGGGTGTGTCATAACTAATTGACATCTTGAGTCGGGTGTGTCCGAGAGGGTTAACCTCCATGGCAGAGGCTCTGTCGAACCCCTGAGACCGATTCACTGAACCCCTAGGGTTTGATCGAACCCTAGTTTTGAGCCACAGATTTAGAGTGTTCCATTAACCTATGGTGCATGTTTTTGGAATGTAGGAGGAAACCGGAGTACTTGGTGAAAACCCACGCAGGCACGGCGAGAACATGCAAACTCCACACAGGAAGTTCCGGAGCCGGGATCGAACCCACAACCTCTTCACTGTGAGATCGACACGCTAACCAGTCCGCCACCGGGCCACCACATTGTTTTGGGCCACCACATTGTTTTGATTTCAAACAAAAACAAAACGTGCAGCGTTCCCAGGGTAAGCAGCATTTCATAAAGTTAACTGAAAATCTAAATAAATAGTTCCCTCGAGTTAACACGGTTTTAAATTGATCTCTTAATTGGCCATCGGATTATTAATTTTTTTTTTCAAATTATCCGGCCAGTTGTGAATTGGTACATCCTTAATAAAACAGTTCTTTTTATGTCCTCACAGTGGTAATTGAGGTTCATGGGTCATACAAACCTGATATATTTTAGAATCTCTTGCACAATGTAATATCCAGTAGAGGATTGGAATCAAAAATTTTGCCTTTATGAAGATATTACTGTTGGCTCAGGCCTGTGCAGAGTTTACATGTTGTCCCCATCCTTGCGTTGTTTTTCCCTGGCTACTTTGGCTTACTCTGACATTCTAAAATATGACATTGCGCTAATTGAAGACCACATTGTCGAGAAGGTCTGTATTAGCCCTGGGATCGGCTGACGACCTTTCCAGTGTATACCTTGCTTCTCTTTTCATCTGGGGTAGGCTCCCGCTCACCTGCAATCCCAATGAGGACCAACAGTATAAGATTGATAGTTGGCAATCCTGCATCACATGGACATACTGAGATTAAATTCAGCAAATGTACCTTATTTTTTTTTACATGGAGAAAAATAACATGAAGAATTGGACCACTTTGGAGGTAGAAAACAATCTTCCCGATCAGTGTGTAGACTAGAGTGATATGAATGGAAGGGGAGCATCATCCCAGGAGAGCTCATCATGTGCCTGAATGGCATCGCCAAGGCAGCGATGCCAACTCAAATGGTCAATGCAGCGATGTGTGTTTTCATCTGATAACAAGCTTGATTTTCCTCAGCGTCCAATGCTGCCTTGACAAAAACGATTATCTTCACAATTGATATACCGTTAAATCATAAGACTAAGAATTTAGATTTGGTTTTGCGATTACATTTTGTACCGGTTAATTCATTGTCTTGTTCGATAATTTGTAGTGCATAGCTTGTGCTTTGGTCCTTCCAGATGGGTTCCCAAGACAGTAAAATGCGTCGATCAAGTTGAGTTGTAAAAAGTGTAATGATGACCATAGAGCATTGCAACGTAAGGATGAAAGTGTGACTCGTTTTCTTTCTCGATGCAAAAGTCACTGGCTAAATTGAGAATAAATCATCGCAAATAGTTTCAGGGAAGCAGAGTGTACAGCACAATCAGCTGTTTTAGTCTGAATGCATCAACGCATCTTCCTAGCATCTAAAGGAATTTTCCATTCTGTTGAGTAAGGTTTTTTTTTTTAAGTTTTCAAGCCAGTGGATACTTCTTTTTTTTTCAACTTGTATTACAGGTAAGAGTGTAATGCATGAAGCCGACTCACTTTGTGCTTTTGTCTAAGAGACGATTTCCATTGTGCATTATTTAATGGTGAGTTTTACTTTATGGTGCTTTAATTTAGTTTTGAACTGCATGAGTGACCCACTGTGGTGACTCCTGACAAGGAAAAGCCAACAGTTACTTCTATTTTTTTTTTAAGTTTTCAAGCCAGTGGATACTTCTTTTTTTTTCAACTTGTATTACAGGTAAGAGTGTAATGCATGAAGCCGACTCACTTTGTGCTTTTGTCTAAGAGACGATTTCCATTGTGCATTATTTAATGGTGAGTTTTACTTTATGGTGCTTTAATTTAGTTTTGAACTGCATGAGTGACCCACTGTGGTGACTCCTGACAAGGAAAAGCCAACAGTTACTTCTAATAATTTGACTCTGGAAGGGATTATTCAGTTTTCTTTTGTTTCCTATGAGGGGGGTAAAAATAGCGATCGTTGAACATTATGTGTGAGACTGTCCAATCCGAAGCGATTAACCTGATAGCAGGCCCATTTATTAACCAAGGCATGGTCAGCAGCTAATAAAGCTGCATCAAAACGCACATTGTAATTTGTGAACAGTAACGTTCGCGTGACGTGACCCACAGCGTAAGAGGTGTAAACAGATCGATGTCCACTTCTTTCACCACATCTCTTGCGCTGTTCAGGTAGACAGCACAATAAATGTGAGGTTTTATTCCTCCCGAAACCTCAGAACTGTTACGCAGACGCGCTAACCCACCCGCAACTGTCCTCCCCAGTATGAATAATTCTTGATAAATTTAGAACACAATGGGGAAAATCTAACACTGGCTGATAAAATGGATGGCCCGTCACAGGACTCCACGCACTTCTTTACCCACTTGAAAGTTCAGTGGACACCTGGGTTCACCTTGAACCCGGAGCTGTAATGGTTGACTGAGTCAAACCTGCCAAGCACCTTTCTCGTGTCTTGTGGGAAACATGTTATTTACAGTGAATGCTTCACAGGGTCTGACTTCTGAAGTCATGAGAACAACCCCCATTGATGTTTATATCGCTTTTCGAGTGCACACTTTATTTTGCACACAAGATTATTGTTTCCTTATCGGCGTCGACTTTGAATTTGCCACCTTTTCAGTCCCCAATATCGCAATCATTCAATCACTGAAGATCTGAACAGCAGTTGACTTTACCTTTCTCTGTGGACATAATTTTGTGTCATCATCCGTGGAGATTGAAAAAAAGTAACCAGCCTATTTTTGACAAAGTAAGGAATAAAAAGTCCAGACTTCTCTTTTCAAATGGCGGGAGTAAAAGTAAAAAATTTGAAACACTGCATGTTTAGCTTCCAGACGGTGTCGAGGGAGTGACTATGGGAGTGTCCTCTCATCTTCTCTCACCTTCGCTCGAGCGTGGCCTTTCACTTGGTCAGGAACGTCAAGAGAGGACATCCAAGTTGAGCGATTCCACTCCTGAACATATATTAGAACAACTTGAAAATAGGGAAAAAGAAAAGCTAAGGCTGCGGAATGGGCTGCATTCAAAGCTTCAGGGAATTCTGCGATCGTTCTAAAAACACAAACGTTCGTCTCAGTCTTCCAGCAGTGTGTATAGTGTGGCAGACAGCCATGATCATCCTGTTTGGGGTTTTTATACGTTATGACGAAGAGTCCAATCCACACTGGATAGAGCACAGGAAAGAGGCAAACATATCAAGTGACATTGAGAATGACTTCTACTTCAGATATCCAAGTAAGTGACTTCATCTTGGCTCTTCTCTCATCCAATCGGTGTCACCTTTTTTGAAAGAACAAATTCAATGTAGCTTCTGTTCTTGAAGGTGCAATGTTGTTCATAAAGTGTATTTTACTTTTAGAAAAGAACAAAAAAAAAAAAATTAAAAAGCATTTTTTTTCAGGCTTGATACGGAATCAAATCACCCGTATATAATGAGTTGACACTGCTGACATCCACAGGTGATTATTTCCCTAGGGGTGGGCATTGTCACCCAGCTTTCCCGGTTTATGCGTCAAGTGTTTTCCAGTCGTCGCCTCGCTCAAATAAATAAATAAACGAAACAACATATTTTCTTGTAGTTACATCTACTTTTGTGTTGAGATCAATCAGAACCTGTTGTGTTGAGTCACAACTGCCCACTATGGTGTCAAGAGCCTTTTTTTTTGGGGGGGGGGGAACAATTATTTTGAGGCAAATAAAAGACTGTTTCAATTAGATGCATTTAAAACACACTTTTCACACGATGCTGCTTGTCACAATGTATCCTAAAGTTTCATAGTGACAACATATTGTGCCAGTAGATGTGTCAGATGGTTTGTGGTCATGTTTTTGTAAATGACACCGGCCGGGTGATGCTGGTATCCACTGGAGAGCCAATAGCAGGCCTTGTTAGAAAAGTTTGCCTTCCAAAAGATAATAATGATCACAGTTTTTTTTTATTAGTTTGACACCCTCTGAGCTGTCTTAATTTACCGTGCTTATTTATGTTGTTTGCCATGTTTTCAAAACATCACTGGATCATATTTTTAATACTGTGCTTAATACCACCAAAGTGATCGGTAAGGTGACAAAAATCTTTATATAAAAAAAAAAAAAAAAAACGATTTAGGTACAGCTTGCGATTCTTCATTTAACAAACAAATTTTTACCAAGCTCCCATATGAATGTAAAAGTATGCATGTTCTGTGAATATACAAACACATACAATTATAAGGCGACTTTTAAGACATTTCATGTAAATTGCAAAGCGACCGAATTCAATGCTGTCCAGGATCTTGATTGACTTTTCATTTTGGTCAGATTTCAAAACAATTGTTCAGCCATCCAGAATGTTCTTTGAAAATCGTCTGTAAGCGGGTCAAACAAATGCAACCATAAAAGTTTTAGCTGTGCTGGCTCGGTAACATTTATATATATATATATATATATATATATTTTTTTTTTTTCTTCTGTCATACAAATGAAAAAAAGTAAGTTAGCCATTGTTGTCTCCTTATTATGTGTGAACCATATCCTAACACCTTCTTTGATTTTAAGGCTTTCAGGATGTCCATGTGATGATCTTTGTGGGCTTTGGCTTCCTGATGACTTTTCTCAAGCGCTACAGTTTTGGCGCCGTGGGTTTCAACTTCCTCATCGCAGCGTTTTGCCTTCAATGGGCGCTGCTGATGCAGGGCTGGTTCCACTCCCTGGATTACACTGATGGAAAGATCAAAATCGGCGTTGAAAGGTACGATTGTCTCCGACTTCCTCTTCAACCGAATCGTAAATACTGAATTATAAATCATTTAAAACAAATGATGCTCACAGTTGTTTTTTTTGTTTTTTTCTGGAGTGGATGAATATGTTTGATCATTTCCGCCACACTTTTCACAGGAAGAAAACAAAAGATGTTGCAAAAACCAGTCGACCTTGCCAAATCGGATACATTCGATTTAATCATGTTTTTTACTAGTGTAGTTCGCTGGTTCCGAGGTAAACTGAAATGTGACGCTCTTGAGAAATGATGATGCTGTTGAAATCTCGTCTGGTGAATGCACAACCATAACCTCCCTTGTTCATGTTTCTGAAAGTAAACTGCTCAATACTTATGACGTTGACTCCTAAATATTCAAATGTTCTTTTTCAAGTTTAATTAATGCAGATTTCTGCGTGGCGGGCTGCTTGATTGCTTATGGAGCCGTGCTTGGGAAAGTCAGTCCAGTCCAGCTGATGGTCTTGACCCTGTTTGGCATCACATTGTTTGCTGTGGAGGAATATATCATCCTCAGTGTCATACACGTAAGTATGAGGACTCATGTGTCGGTTTGTCGAGATATCCTTCAAAGCATTTTGTTGTTTCAATACTAAACAAATTAAATATAACTAAGCAGCAGCATAGTGAGGTAGTGTTAAGTGCGCCTGCCTTACACTCGAGAGGTTTGGGGTTTGAATCTCTGCGCCAGCTTGCCAGGACTTCCCCTTGTGTCGGTTTTGCCCTGGGTACTCCGACTTCCTCTCACATTCTGGAACTATGCTTGTTAGCTTCATTGAAGACTGACTTGTCCGGAGGTGTGAATGGCTATTTTCCTCGATTTGGCTTGCAACTGGCTGACAACCAGCCCGCATTGGAGTAAGCTCTTGAAAGAAAAGGAATGTATCAACAATGTAGAAATATATGTCATGTATATGTAAGAGTATAGAAATTAATAACATTGACTGTCAAAAGAGAGAGAGGACAAAAAAAAAAAAGCAATAACATCAGCAATAACATAAAACAGAGTGTTTTGTGACCAAATAAGCCTTGTTGACCTGAAGGCCCGAGATGCGGGAGGCTCCATGGTGATCCATACGTTCGGCGCTTATTACGGCCTTGCCATCTCATGGATGCTCTATCGACCCAACCTGGACCAGAGCAGTCGTCTGCAAGGCTCTGTCTACCACTCGGATGTCTTTGCTATGATAGGTAAGGTGGCGTCACGAAAAGGTGCATCACTTTGTTGTTTTGACTCTGCATCTCATGACTTCTTTGTAAAATTCAATGGGTAGGAACTCTCTTCCTGTGGATGTTCTGGCCCAGTTTCAATTCAGCCATCGCCGACCACGGGGACGGGCAGCACCGAGCCGCCATCAACACCTACCTGGCCTTGGCTGCAACAGTGCTCACCACTGTGGCTTTCTCAAGCCTCTTTCAGAAGCACGGCAAACTAGACATGGTAAGAGTCCCTAATAGACCTGCTGAGAATCCAATTTAAGTTCGGTGTCCTGGAGACACACGGCATGGACACACGTTTTGTTCTTCTTCTGCGCAGGTTCACATTCAAAACTCCACTTTGGCTGGCGGTGTCGCAGTGGGAACTGCAGCAGAATTCATGCTGATGCCCTACGGGTCTCTGATAGTTGGCTTCTGCTGCGGTGTCATCTCCACATTGGGTTATATCTTCCTCACGGTATTCTTCACATGTCGTTTAGATGTTAATTAGCATTCTCATGGTGGCCGAGTTAGTTCCCCTTTGAGTTTTAGTTCCTTTCTTAAGAGACTGTTGTATGCTTCTACACTTTGTGGGAACAGTATGGAAGTCCCATTTCTGTTCCAGCACAAGGCACTATGTATTAAGGCAGTGATAGATTAGCAAACACAAATACTGCACAATGTATTGACTGAGGTCTGACATTGTAGGTGCTGAGCTTCACTAAACCATTGCTATGTTTAACGCTTCTCTCACAGCCATTTATGGAGAAGCACCTGAAGATTCAGGACACGTGTGGAGTCCACAACCTTCATGCCATGCCTGGGGTCATAGGTGGTATTGTGGGCGCTATTACTGCTGCAGCTGCTTCTGACTCGGTTTATGGTAAAGAAGGGTGAGAAGCATGTCAGGCTCATGGAATTTTCGATGAAGTTAGGCTTTTGGCCACCCTTAATGTTTTCTTTTTTCTTTTTCAATTAAAGACTGATTAACACCTTTGATTTTGAGGGGGATTTTGAAGAAATGACTCCCACAAGGCAGGGGGGTCACCAGGCCGCGGGCATCTGTGTGGCCGTCTGCTTCGGTGTAGGTGGAGGCATCATGGTTGGTAAGCGACATAGACTGACCAAAACTGACTGAAACACTTTTGGTGCAGTTTTATGATGTCGTTATATACTTGACAGGTTTTATTTTAAGATTACCCATCTGGGGGGACCCGGCTGATGACAACTGCTTTGATGATGAGGCCTACTGGGAGGTTAGCGACTACATCAGTCAATGTCATGAGTGTCTTTTGGAAGTCACAATACATTAAGTACAGTAAAGAGTGACCAAACAGTTGTACAGGGACCAAACATCCCATAATAGTAGTGTTATCCAGTACTCCGTACTACCGATGGCTGCCCACAAGCTCCCCCAGGGTACATGGCCCAACATTGTGTCTAAGTCCGCATTTTGACTGGTTCTGCAACCTCCCATACACCTTCGAGGATACTGCTGAGGGTGTTGAGCTGGTTCCAGTCATCATAGGAGGTCTATGAGCCGTACTTTGCCTGGTCAATCACCTCAGGTGTGTTTGCCATGGGTGACCCTGCCAGGGGTGTAAAGCCGCAGACAACTTAGCTCACTGGGACACACAAAACCCTTGAACATGATAAGGTGATGGCTCAGGTGTATTACTCCAAAAATGGGAGCAAGCATCCTTAAATTTCACAATTACAGTTGGCTCTTGGTTTTGGAATAGTAGTTTTAAAGTTGAATACATGAGAGCTAAAATTCGAAAAATAAGAACTAGCACAAATCTGCAACACAAATCCTAGCAAGTAGCAGCTGTGATGATGCATTCTCATTATTTTTTAAACTGCGCTCTCAGTGCTGTCGCACAAAGGCCATTCACAGTGTGTTAGCTGTCTATTTTTCAACTTTCCAGTTGATGTAGTTGGTACCCTTGAATGATATTGAAATTGTCTGCAGGTGCCTGATGAGGAGGAGAGTATTCCACCAGTCCTGCAGTATAACAATCACATGCTCAACAAAGACGTGTAAGTGTTTTAGTTTGTAGGCCAACAATGTTCAGGTCAAATACTCTCATATCCAGTCAATTTAGTCATTCGTATTTGAAGAATTACTAGCATCACATAGGTTCCTAGTGGAGGGAATATTACTACAGTGTTGTGGAACTTCAGATTCCAATTTCAATTTGAGAAACACAAAGAAGAGTGAGTGTGGTTAGTCTGGACAGCTTTTCCAGTGCTCGGAAGAGCAGTGCATGACAAAAACAAATATTTAACAAGGCCCATAACAATAGCCAAAGTCCACTCATAAATGCAAGAAGTAATAAAAAAAATATTTATAAGGTAAGTAAAAATAAATATGGTGTAGTGTCGACGCACTCTCTCTCAACTAGGGATGTGGCTGCCAGAAGTTACAATTTCTTTCAATGAAAAACAAACATTGACTTTAAATGTTCGACCGATTGGATGATCCATTGCTGCTCAACGTGTGAGCAGTGCTTCCACCGGGGGGCAGTACAGGACTTTTAGGGAGGTGCAGAGAAATAGAAAGAAAAACGTTAATGATTTATATTTGCTGTGGTGAGTGGTGCAAGTTCGCAGCTCGTCAAAGTAGGCTTCAGAAAATTGTTAACAAGGCTTGACTTTATTGGACTTCCTGACAAATGTTGTAATGATGACAGAAAAAGACAGTCAAACTGAGATTAACATGAGAGCTATGAGTGTAATATTTTTCGGGAGGTACCGTTGTTGCTTTTATTGTCCTCTTGGTGGCAGCACTAGTTCACTAAAGAGGATGTCTCCAACGTTCCAGCCGCTGAACAGGACATCAACGGCATGGTTCGAACTCTCTTAGTTCGCGTACACACACGCTTGCTGTTTGGGCGATGTTACGTCATGCTCACGCTCGTGGGTTTTGTGCTTGTGCTGATAGGGTTTTCACAGCACACACGCAAGCACATTTATACAACGTGCACAAGTGACCTTGATGATGCAACGTTGCTGTGCAAATGACATCATTCAATGAGACATACGTAATTTGTCGTTTTAGATTTCACAAGGACCATTATAAGTGAATTACTGGACTGTATAGCTAGTTGTTCAGTAAATGTTTGTTTTAATTATGGGCCTTAATGTATTTGTTTGTTTGTTTTTAGAACTGAGTCAAATTTCACCTTGGAGCAGAACTGATCCAGCGTTTTGAAAATGATGGTTTGCTGGCCTGTGTTGGTCCCTTTTGAATATCCCGATGAACAGAATCGTTCATTCCATATTTTCAACGTCTGAAAATAAATTATTGGCCATCCAGAGAATATATTTATGTAAAATTGAAAATTAGGTAAAGTTAGGAATCTAACTGAAATGGCTAAATGTAGGTCATATTATCAATTTATAGTTAAATGATTTCCATAGCCTAATTCAATATTTGTACAATGTCAATTCATAATATGGATTCGGCCCTTTTTAAGAAGGAGCAAGACACAATGAGGCTATATTGTATGTTCTTTGCTGAGCCCATGTTGATTTGTTCTTGTTGGAGAATTGCACAAGGTTGTGTATGCGGAATAAAATGTTTAATGTGTGAGGAAAGGTGAAATCAGAATAGATCGCTGCAACGCTTTTTGCATTGTTTTCTTGTGGTCATTGGGGTGTCAGAGGCATGAAAGCGGCCACACTTGTGTGATGTCATGAAAACACACCATCATCATCATCTTCACATTATGTGGGAGCATGAGGTGCTGGAAACCCCCAAAATAACATTTTCGTTTTGCATGCTGGATTTTATTTCGATGACTGTGTCTTTATGTGTGTGTGTGTGTGTGTGTGTGTGTGTGTGTGTGTGTGTGTGTGTGTGTGTGTGTGTGTGTGTGTGTGTGTGTTATGTGGTGGAGTGAGATGATTTCTGGTGCATATGAGAGTTTTTTTAGGTTTGTGAGAGTTTTTTGTGTGTGAGAGGTAAATTTTTTTTTGGGGGGGGCTATATGGTACTGATAAGAGTCATCAATGTCAAGGACTCACTGATCCTGTTTGCTGTGTGCTCATGGTTTTGTAAATAAAGTGTTTGCAAAATATAAATCACCCGCTATCTGATTTTGCTCTTAGATTAACAGTGTCATACAGGTGTTACATTTATAAAATATTTTAAATAGTTTACTGTATTGAGTTGCGCCGAGAGCTTTTTCTTTCTTTAAGTGAAAGGATTAAGTTTCTTCGACAGCATCAGTGAAGACTATGCTTGAATGTGTTTGAAAATGCTTTTTATTTTTCCATGCAGCTCATTTCTCTTGCTTCTGATTGAAATCGTAATTGAGTTTTCAATGAGTGGATGAAGTGTGTCTACCAGATACTGCCTTTAAAACAATATGCTAATGAAAAGGATGCTCCCTCGAGTTAAAATATCTCCAGCAAGTCCTTTCCCCAGGAGTGACACAGACTTCTCAAGAAAGGTTCCATGCATACTGACGCCAGGGCACACTAGAGCGACCCAACATGCACTTGCCTTTACACTGTGACCTCAGTTCAAAGGGCAAGAAACGATAAAGGTCAAAGTCAGTGTTTCATGACATTGATCTGACCAATGATGACCACTCTACTGAAAACGAGCATTCTGTCAGTTCTTTTCCCACAGATAAGAGGCAGCAAGGAGTTTATATCCACATCCAGTATTAACAAAAAGCTTGCATTTTAAGTCTCGCTCTTTTGTCTACAGGAACATGTTTGAGTAAAGGAGGTAATGATGCCACAAGTGTTCCAATTAAAGGAGATGCAGCCCTGCCGGGAGAAAGGGTTCCCACATTGCTGCATTGATACTAGCCAGCCCCCCCCCCCCCACACACACACACACACACTGGCCTCTTCTCATTGGACCTCAGTTCCCGCTCCTACTTGACTCATGTTTATTCTCCATCTACTTAAAGGACAAATGCAGAACTAATTCAAGGCGTTGTTTACATGATAGCTGGCCTTCTTAAAAGTGCAGGTGCACCAGGCCTCGGGGCCTCGTGAGACCCAAGTTGAGCGTTTTTTTTGGACTCAAACGGCTCTATCGTGATATTTGATTGACAGGTGGGGGGTATTAAGGAGAGGGTGGGAAAGGAGTACAGAAGAAGGCTTCCAGAATGGGTCGTGCACAAAACATGCTTGCAAACAAGGGGCCACAGAGACGCTCATAAATAATAAAGAATTTGCCAGTAAAAGTGTGTTTACACTGCGTGCCAGTGATAGTGTTTGCAGATTTGAGATTAGGTTGTAATCCTTTACACATGGCTATGAAATGTACAGAAAGGCAGAAATACATCGTGGGGGGTCGTGTATGGGAGGGTGCCCGCTGATATGCATTCACAGCAAAAGGGCGTGACCTCTGACTGCAACTGCAGTTTACTCTTGACACGTGGTTGGTTCAGTGTGTGCATCTTCTCCAAGTATTTTCATGTTACTTTTGTGTTTTTGACTGTTCGTCCTGCTCAGCAACTGCATCAATGACTGTGCTCAAAATTTCCCCACGTATTCCTTTCTTTCTTTTTATAGTATCTATGTATATAACCTTAATTTTTCCAGGCAAGGCTATTCAGAACAGATTGTCATTTGCAATGGGGAGCTGGCTGCAAGCAACAAAGTAAAACAGCAAAACAAAAGCACATATACAATATGTACAACAAACTGCAATGTGATATAGTTCCGCATTTACATCATAAATTACCATACAAAATAGCATACAGTGAATAAAGGTGAACAATGTCGTTTTTAAACGACAGTAAGCAAGACGAGGTGAGTTTTTAATTTGTTACAGTCATTTGGGGAAGAAAAGTGAAAAGACGATCGACCAAAAGTAGTGCGGACTGCTGAGAGTGAGGGTGATGGTGTGCATGGTGAATAGAGTGCAAAGATGTGGTGAAGAGAGGACCAATTAAACAAAGTACAGTTCACACCGTGATGGGCGTTAAAGGGAGCACCAGCACTTATCTGATATAGTACGACTAGTTGTGTGCTCAAATAATCGAGATGGCGATATACTGTATAGTTGTAGGCCATTTTACAATACACATATCGATTTGGAGGCATCAGAATTGATATTGCACATTCATTCATAAAGTTTGCTGGCACATCTCTGATAGCTAATGTTTGTGTGCAGTGCACACACATTTCAACCAGGCACAGCGCTGGCTGTAACCCGGACGCACTGCTAACAGTAAAAGAAAACATTTTTGTCATCCAGTATCATAAAAATATCGTTTGAGTACACAAATAAAAATGCATGTAAAACAGGCGTCACCATCGTGAAATGTGTATTAAACTGGATAGCTGTTCATGTTAATCAGTACATAAGAAGTAGCTCTCAGTTTCAAAATTGCTGGTGACCACTGATGAAAAGTAATGTAAAATATCGAGATACACGTGTATCACGATACGTGACGACTGTATAGTGGCACGTATTGTATTGTGAGGTTGTGGCAATACCCAGCCCTAGATACGACCTCCTCTGAATGAAGCTGAAATGAAGCTCACTTGCAATTCACATTGTGGTTCGCTACACAAAGCATAGAATTGACGAAGCGATGGTTCATAATGCCCCAAAAACTCATCGGACAAGAGTAGGGACACCCTGGACTTGTCGGCAGCCAATTCTTGGGCATGAGCAGAGTCAGGGGAGTGTGCCATGACACATCAGTGAATTCAACATGAAAAGTCTGTGTGAAATTGGCTGCACCATGTCGTCACAGATTGGCTGGCAACCAATTCAGGGTGTCCCCCGCCTTCTGCCCGAAGACGGCTGGGATAGGCTCCAGCACCCCCCGCGACCCTTGTGAAGATAAGCAGATCGGAAAATGGATGGATGGGGTGAATGTCGTCACATACATGTTCAAAAGACAACCTGCTGTCAGACCAAACAATAAACTACTTCAATATGATGAAGCAGCCCGGTGGTCCAGTGGTTAGCGCGTCGACCTCACAGTGCAGAGCTCGTGGGTTCGATCCCGGCTCCGGCCTTCCGAATGGAAGGGTTTTCTCCGGGTGCTCCGGTTTCCTCCCACATTCCAAAAACATGCATGGCAGGCTGATTGAACACTCGAAATTGTCCCTCGGTTTGAGTGTGAGCGCGAATGGTTGTTTTTCTGCGATTGGCTGGCAACCGGTTCGGGGTGTCTGCCTACTGCCCAAAGACAGCTGGGACAAGCTCCAGCACCCCCCACGACCCTTATGAGGATAAAGCGGATCGGAAAATGAATGAATGAATGAACTTGATGAAGATCTGTGACACCGTGTGCAGTATTAGTGCTTCAACATTCATTTTGGTTGGTCTCTGCTTTTCAAAACAGCCAAGGTTTTGCGCACCTTTAGACATACTGTATATTTTTTTCTGAAAATATTCGTCAAATTCTGAACTGCACAACCTCGGGTGTGTCTCAATTTTATCATGAAACATTTTGGTATTTCCTTCTGTCTTTTACAGAGTTGAGTAGCAGTTGTTCGTGCATTCAGGGATCCATGCTGTAACTCTAACAAAGCCAGCAGTAAAAGGCTTTAATGAAAGCCACAAGTCCATAAATGTGTTCATAAACTTGTTCAACCAGAAGTCTCAAACAGAACCGTTCATGTTCTGTTATTATTAAAGGTTAGTTCACTTTTTTTTTTTCAATACTTGAACTTTATTTTTATGGAAGACTCAATGCAGACGAGAGACACCAGACGCTATCTCAAGCAGCCGCAGCATAAGTTGTGTTGGAGACCTCTGATACTATAAACCCTTTCTATTTTTTCGACAGGTGTTTTGTAGGCCTTATGTTTCACACCATACACAAAAATCAATGCAACTCCCACCTGTGTGTGCCCCAGGTATCTCCCCACTCCACTAATTGTCAACAGAGGCTGTTTAAGTGTCCCGATCAGACCACAGTGGCGAGGAACAGCAGATTAAGCATGATCCTATTCGATCCCTGCGAGCCCCTTCTTACGCTCTGTTACACCAGCATTTAAAAAGAGGAGGGTGTTCCTTTCAGACTTGTGATATGAATCCCAGACGTATGGACCAGAACAGAGCTTTCGCCCCCCAGTTTCACAGAAAAGACCCCTTTTTGGCAACCTCTAATTCTGGTTGCTACGCGCGTCTGGGTTCAATGGCGCGCTCCTGTTGTGAGGGGACAAAGCCTCTCAGTCATCCAGCCATGGTTGCTAGGGGAGCCAGAATGTATGGGGAGGGACGGGCTGCTGTTGTCCCAGACCAAATGTCTCTCTTAAGGCGGGCAAGAAGGAATGATTGACAGGTGGCTACACGCTCCACTGCAGATCACCCGGGAGGTCTGAGGGAGGTGACATTATATCTCTGACTGGGTGTGTGTGCGTACTTTGCTGAGTTATGCAGTCAGAGCAGACGGTGTATATGATGGTGTAAATAAATAAATGCCTTATATATATATATATATATATA